GTGGATTCACCCAATTATCTACCTCCAATTGAGAAGCTATCGAATGAAAATATAAGAAAGTTTCAAGGTAGGTCGTAGTCATGATAAAATTTTGTGTTGATCGAAAATCAAACGTCACACTGAATTGTGATATCGGTTTAGGAAGAGCCGGTTTTCTTCTTTGGATACAATTAATGATTCAACGCGTGAAAAACCAGAAGGAAATAGTAGACAATACGCGCGTAAATTAAATATTCATGGATGCTTCCTATGTATGGAAACAATGGAAATAGTTATCAACAACCGACAATAAATTATCGACAGCATGAGTTGCACACGTAGATCAATTAATACCAACTATTTATTTATAAGGTACAAAGCTAATATGCTGGTAACGATGAGAGTTCATACGTGAGTAGAAGCGGGCATCATATTATGTAAAATACTGTTCTGTACGAATTCTACCCAATGCTTTTGCATTAGTCCAATGTTTTTTCATCTCTTCAAGCAAATTGTCCTTGTCTACAAAAACTCGCTTTACCCATTCGACAAGCTTTTCTTCACTCTTCGGCAGATCTTCAATTGCATAACGTCTAATATGGACGTGAAAAGACCATGGGGGTGACAGAACAGGATACGCATGGACCTGGATCAGATTTGGCGGCATTGGAAGATCCGCCGTTTTTTTTTCATTTTTTGTACGCTATAGTGAAATCTATATGCATTGATTAGTCGGGAATCAGGATCAGTGTTCGTTCGTTTGAAATTTTGCATAGAACAATAATAAAGTACAGCTGTCCTACCATACACGTATTTCACATGAGTATTCCGCAACTGTCGAACACAAGCAAGAAATCCCTTCGTTCGCGGATTGAGCAAATTTTTCAATACAGGTAAATTGTTCTTCCGAGCATATTGTTGACTCTATTGTAAAAGGTACCGTATAATGACATGGAGGCGAATCAACGTATTCGTCAAACTTTTAGATATATACATACGTCTTTTAGCTTTTGCGGTGTAGCTCTGGTTCCCTCCAAAAAGTTTACAATCCAGACAGGTGCTTCGTAACGTTTTATTGTTTTAAACATTTTTTCGATCTTTGCTTCGTCTTGCGTCCAATTTCTGGTAACAAAGAGCATTCCCATCAACTGAAATATGTAACATATAAATAACTACAAAGTCTTATAGACAGCAACATATTAAACACGTCATGACTCACCCACATCCCCCATCCAAAGAACGGAATCTACAAATGTGTTATATTGAATGGGAAGAGTCAGCATCATATTGAAGGCCTCTATAGAATCCGAGCCGAGTTTGGATATAATCAAATCATCACGTACAAATTTAAGTGAATCCTTTGCAAAATACTTAAGATGTGGTAACATGTTTCTTCGTACTGCAATAGAGTGCAGCATATAGAAATCTGAGAATGATCGATGGTTGCTGATCACTATAGCACTGTCACCGGAGGATAATTCGTCACCCGAATATGATATTTTGCCCTTGTGTCGTCGCTGCCGTTTTTGATACAGTACGGAACAGTTAGAATAAGCAGCTAACAGACAAGTGCGATCGTTGTTATAGTGGACATACCTCAAAAATATACTAAAACGCAATAACAAACCAGTTTGTTTGTTCGATCAAGCAACGCATTTAATCAGCCAGTCAGCATTTTCTTTAGGCGTTGCCATATAAAGAGAGAAAGAGAAAGAGAAATGCAAGGATAGGAGCCAAGGGCAACCAACGCAGACATGAAAGTATCTACCTGCATAACCCACCACAGGCTGAAAGCTCCACGTGTGTTAATATTCCATACACGTCTTCGCGAAAAGGGAATCAACAACACAGACCATAACTGAACGACATTGATACCTATGGCTAAGCTGTCGTTAAGAAAACTTGGTTATATCTATATTTTACATTTTTCGTCAAATGTAGCATTCGATCATCTAACCTGAATAAAGCAGTTCCGTAGAACAAAGCACGTATCATTTTGGTAAGTGGAGTCAACATTGGGAAAAGGTTTAATACACACTTTTAGGAGAAAGTGGAAGATGTGCCTCTAAACGATAAAAAATCGTAGTCTATATAGTAATAGATTGTCTATCTCCATCAGGTGTTACCCCAACATGCGACATTAACATCTAAGATTTTTTGATTATGATGAGTTAGTTCCTTGTCCAACTAAAATAATGTAGGTGAAAGCAAAGGATTAAACCATGTCCAGTAAATGGGAACTGCAAAGTGATTTATGTGTCGAAATTAAACAAAGTTTTGATGTTTCTTCCTGTAGATATTAATATTGCTTATTATTGTAATAGTGCAACTATCTGCGGATGTAACAGACTTTTTTGGTCTTGTATCACTAATTATATTGAATGTCATCGCACTGCATCAGAACTTATGCCTAGCAGTAAATTCGCATATATCGAAATTTACGTTCTAATTTATTGACTAGCTATGTCTTCAGAGTGGCAACCACTTGTTTTCCGTGTGATTTCGCCTGTCGAACCAAACTCGCCGAGTTGGCCTTCATTATATTGGCCACTCAGCGAGAGCAAAGTGAACATTCGGTATCCAGACGGTTTGTAATGTAGTTGTAAACAGTATTTCTATTACGCATATGCGATAATGGTTTTTATACGTTTATAGACATGATAAGGTTTACGCTTTACTGGACTATAATATTTTTTGAAGTGATATATGGTGTAGCGGGCTTATGGGCATTGGCAGTTTCTTGGCGATACAAGTGGTCTTATGTGATTCCTGTTGCGTTCGTGGTCACGGCACTGCTAACCGGATCGCTTAGCGGAAGTATAGTAGGTGATTACAATATTTGAATAAGAGTAAAATGCTTGCTTCGTGCGTATCCTGTGTGTGGTCTGATACCGGTCCATTCTGGTTGATATAGGTGGCGTCCTTGCAGCACTGTATGGGACAGGCCAGTTTCCAATGTCAACGTGGGTTCCGTTTCTATGGGGTCTTGTTCAGGCTCTGATTGTGGTAATGGGCTGTTATTCTACGATTACAACAATCTTGTAGATGCAAAGGGAGGAATCAAAGTATTCTTGTTCTAAATGCCAGAAGACATGGTCTTAAAGACAATGAGAGAAGACCACATAGCACTGCTAGGATCGTGACACGTCTTCGGAATGTAAAGGGCGATATAAAGGGCGGACTGAGCGGGCTGGTTAGGTAGCCTGCTTTCACGTGTTTGCTAATCGGTGATTGCTTCCTCGCACACTGTATATCCCCCAAGATTGCGTACAGTTTGGTGTGTATCAGTTTCGTAAAGACTTTGATGCTCCAATACAATGGATAACTTTCAATGGCATGCCAGATTGTGGCCCCAATTCGAACGATTGTCTACTTGAAACACCCCGATGAATCTTAATTCTCGTAACATTAAATCATAATATACAACTGTCAATAAAAACAAGTAGACTATATATTACATAAATAGATCTACACAAAAAATTTCTTGTTTATCAGGAATATCAGCAAATTTGCATTAACCTTTGCTGCACCACCAAATAAGGTCATCACTTGAACATTATTAAATCGACTTTGTAATAAGTCTTCCAATCTCAATTCAACGTTCCCGAACCCAGGAACAGGAACGCCTCCAAATTTGGCTTCTATGGTAAAGATGCCAAGTTCGTCCGAGGAAATAGTGAAACTGAGTTTATCGAATTGTTTGCTCGGGAAAGAATCGACTGAAATGAGGACCCCTTTTTCATGCAGGCGTTGAGCAGTGTATTTATATGATCCAAATTTGGGAACCTTCCCAGATTTCTGAAGATCACGTATATGGTAATATTGACGAGTGAAAGGCAGAATAAGCCGTTTTTTCCTATATAAGAGAAGAATGGTTAGGAATTATGATGCATCAGTAACATGTTCGAAGGTTATGCGAGATCGTACCCTTTTTTGCTTGACATGTTTTGTAAACACGCGTCAATATAATCGTTGTAACTCTTGATCTGCTCATCCAAATATGCTCGCTTTTCGTCCAAATGTACTAATGACAATTTAACTTGTCTTAGTTCTTTCTGACGTTGTATTCTCCTTCTATGTTTATTCCTTATGTCCACCGCAATACTGTTTAGCAAATCCTGATAGTTATTACTTCTCCACAACTTGTTCTCTGCCTCTAGTTTTAAGATGTTTCGTAATGTCAATTTCTTTAGCTCTGCAAATTTAATAGTAGCAATGTCTATCATTTGGCCATCTGTCAGTGGCTGCCGTTTTGCCGGTTTATCTACGCAATCAGACGCGCAGAGTTTTCTATATGCTTCTTCATCTTCTGGACTTACAGGCTTCACAAGTATTTCTAGTAGATTCTGCCCATTCTGAATTCGTATTATCGATAAGATGTATCGTTTGGTTTCCATATACAAATGATTAATCTCTGCATCCGGTTCTTTTATCGCATTAGCAGCAATACAACTAGTAAGAGTGAGACTTATTTCTCCAGCATTAGAAGTATTGTCTATTTCTTCAACAGGCGGAGCAGATAGTTCATTAAGTATTTGCCGCAACGGATCGTCATGTTGCGGAGCAATTACGTCAAGCCGCTCCACCAACAGTTTGTGGGTGGAGAAGATTTCGTAAGGAGTAATGTATATAATTGGCTTGTGAGTTCTTGTTAGATCTTCGAATTCATCAATATCAAAAAAGGCTTCTGGATCAGTAATTTCGGTTACTGGGCAATTTCCATAATAGTGCTGATGTTAATACAGAGGGTCCTAAGTCAAAGATCAGCGATAATGATTGTAGTAAAGTTACCTGCATTGAAGAACCGGGAGAATCGTTCTGTTGCATACGAAACATATTCATTAAGAGGTTGTAAATACATGTTATCATCGGTAAATAATCGACCTACGGATATTTGATTAAGCATTTTCGAAATCTGTGGAAAGTAGTAAGCGATGAGAATATTATTGGTGTAAATACCGACGAAATTAAATGTCATTCTACGCAGTTATAATAAATTGCAGTCTACTAACCTCTGCAAGGTTTTTACGTTGCATCGGACTGACAATAGTCTCGATCACATCAAACCCCTCCGGCGCTCTGCAGACGTAAACATTATTCATCGTTATTAATTCATCCCGTCCATCTGCTCTCATTCGAAATAAAGCAAATACTTACACAATAGCGGGATTCAAATAACGATAATATACTAAGTGTCCTACTACTTTCATCACTGCCATTTCACCTTCTCGCGGAAACTTCTTCATCAAAGTTCTTTTTAATTCGCGAGCAATATACCGAATGCCATACGGCATCTTACTGAGAGACGCAGTAATCGCGTTCAGGAAGGTCTCTGTTTCTTTACGAAGCCGTTGTAAATGATGAATAAATACTGTTCGTGTCTCAGGATCGTTGAGAGCGTCCTGTTGAGTTATGTCAGACGGACGAGAGGATGGTTGGCCAGTGCGAATTTCTTCGGCGTTCGTCAACGTACGGTAGATCTGGAGATAGTATCGAATAATAGTAAGCATTCAAGACAATCTTGAAGTTCGGAAGATTGAAAAAAAATCACCTACCGCCAAAGGATCCGTCTCTAGATCCATGTAGTCATCATCCATCACGTGTTTTACTAATGGAACAAGCAAATCTCGCAAGAATTTACGCTCCTTTGCACCACTTTCAACAAGGAAAGTGTTAGCAAATAGCACATTAGCAAGCAAAACGATTACGCTCCAAGCGACACTCACCGATTATAATAAACTACCAATTTCATAAACATAAAATTTCCCCTTAAAAACTCTTGCAGACTGTCAACGCTTTCCAACTCCTCCATAATGCTTCTTTGAAAAAGCTTTAACAACAAATATTCTTCCCTCGCATTCTGCGCATAACCAAACAGCGTCAACACTACTCCTTCGATAATTTTCTTTATCTTTTCCGACACTCTCGTTTTGTTCATGACAAAAAACAGTCTCGCCAAATATGCGGGTTGTGTCTGTAGCAAATAAAACATTTGCTGGTACAAATCAAGTCGACGTCTTGATCCTTTGTCGAGAGCTTTAAGAGAGTATGGACCGTATTGGGAGTTCAATTGGGATAACCGTCGAAGTTGTTTCTTGGAATTTGCTACTGCAATTACTTCATCGAGAGTTATGGAATTTTTGACCAGAAGGGCTATCTTTATGTCAAGTTGATTAAGAAGCTCATCAAGCTTGTTGTTTTCCCGGATTTTTTGAATAACCAACTGGCGAAGGCGTTCAAGCTCTATTTAAAAATGAAATGATTAGATAATGCTTTCATAACAGTGTCAGCACTAAATTTCAGTTTACTTGCCAATTTCTTCTTCAAAGTCAAAATCACTATCATCCAAGAGATGAATGAAGTTCTTGATAGTCCCAACAGGAGGGTTGTTCCCCATGGCTGATTGTATAGACCAGAAATTAAAAAAAAAACATTTCACTGAAAAATGCTGTTCAATCACACAATACTCACTCAAGCTACGGTACGCATCTTCTGCTTGTTTAGCGCGATAGAAACTTTGAATCTTGACAATTTTATCAAGATTTTTACGAAAATATTCCATCTTGTCATTAAATCTGTTACGTGCCAGCACACCACGGCATTGTGCTTGCAACTATTTATAAGTTAACGTTTAAATTGTGCGTACGAACAATTACATTTTGTATCACTTGATAATGTGCCCAAGATCCCAATTACCTTAATCAACCATTTCTCAAGCTCTTCTAGCTGTTTAGCACGTGCTTTCCATTCTTGCCTAACCAGCCAGCCTCTACTCTGTGCTTGGAGGCGGATTATGAATGGTACGGCTGCGTTGTGTAGCGCTCTTCGTTCTAGAAATTTGCTTCTGGCTAGGTATGTTCGAACAGCTGCTTGACACTTGATTACCTTTTCCAGATTCTCTTCCCAATATCGGGCTTGTTCTACATCAATGGAACCAGCAAAAAATAAAATAAAATAAAAACCAAATAACCGTGGTAAAATTGTTTTAATAATAAAACTTACTCTCCTCCTCAGACTCTTGAGATTCTTCTATTTCTACTGGAGGTTCGTTCAACTCAGCTGCTAAAGCCATGCCTACATTAGCAAAACTTGGCATAATAACCCCAGCTGCGTCGAGACTTCTTTGCGTAATATTTAGTTGTTCGGCTATTAAGTAATAAGACACTTATTATTGACAACTACTACCACATATATAGTGAAATTCGACTTAATCCATAATTATACCGCTGAATTCCAGCTTCCCCACTAGATTCCTGATTCGCGGCGTCAAGCCTCTTCGAGATAACAAATAACTGAACATATGTGTGTTGGTTGATAGCGTCAAATATAAAACATAAACGTAAGACAGAACTTCATGTGTATATCGACGGAACAAACCTCAGAGCGTGTATACAATAAATTACTTTTGGAATATTCTTCTTTTCATACAAATCTGTCAATTCAAACCAAAAAAACTGGGACAACAATGAACACCCATGGTGTTGAATTGTTACAATGACAGTTCACTTCATTATAAAAGAAAACACATAAATAAGACTTACACTGGGCAATCCAAGCTTCCTTATAGCCGCGAAGAAATAATTAATATTGTCAGAATGACGAAATTGTAATTTGGGTGACATAAATATCCGCTTAACGACGGATGGCTCGAAGGCTCGAGCCAATTTGGCAAGGACTATTCCATTGCGGAGAGATTCCTCGAGTTCGACAATGGGATTAATTTCCTCGGCAATACACTTTTCTATCCATCTAATATAATTGATACAATTGCACGGTTACAGACAAACGGGAAGGGCAGTAAAGTTACATATTAAACTCGTAACTAACTCTTTGGCTTCTCCAATGCGACATAAATATTCGTAAGCTTGGAGGTTTTTTCGTTGTTGGTCCATCCAATCGCGTGAATTCCGTCGGATGTCTTTCTGTAGGCGGATACGACCTTTCAGACCTGAAAAATACATAATTGTATCATTAAGTAACGACAGATATTCTGTTGATCACGTTTTATGACATACCAAGGCCATTAGTGATTTTCTACGTGATATCCAAAATCTTTTAGAAGGGAAATGCACTACACATAAGCATCTGCCCAATGTTGGCATTTGGGAAAGTTCTGTTATTACTAATTGAAATGTCATTACAACGAGCCGATATAGCAAGCAAGATCAATTGATCATTCTAATAATTAAATCATTTCAACTATAGGCCTGCCATGACCGAATGCGTCCAGCGTTTATCGTATTGCTCTACGATTCCTGACCGATAATACTAATATTCGGTAAAAGCCCCTGTCTGAAAAATCTCTACTCTCACTATAACTTCCACTTCCCCCATAAGACGGTCGCATTACTATAATAGTTCAACTTACCAGCAACGTCTTCCGCATTTTCGGTAATAGTGGGGATGCTCAAGTCGGATAAGTCCTTTTTAACACTCAGTGTACTCAACCTTCTCAATTCTGGAACGGCTGATTTTGAAGCGTCTCTCACTGATTTCGTTGTATGTATTAGCTTAGCCTGTCCTTTTTCCTTGGACGTGTATGACGCAGGTTCGTCTGATACTGTGGTCGACATTTCAATTCGATTCCTAGTGTTTTGTATCTTCTGAAGGCGTAGCTAACGTTGTATTACTAATGAACTTCGTCTCTTTCTTTAATTCATTAAATTGGGATTTATCAAAACCCCTTGTAATTTTTCCTGGTAGAGTATTCATTTCGCCGATTATTTATTCACCTTCTCCGCCCCCTAAAAAGTCGGAATTTGGGAGTACAGATCGTCACTCAGTGCAGGTAATAATAGTAATCAGTGATGTCATTCGTACAACAGGTAACAGGAGACATTATACAAATTTGGACATTATCATTGTACAACGTAATTAGAATAACGAATATTATCAACATACATTTACAAAGTGAGCATCTCAGTAAAAATACTTACCGACACCAAAATGTTTATATCGTAAGTTATAGAGCAAACTAAGATTAATATGCAAAAAATTATCGAACAGATAAAAAATAATATTTAAAAGTCGTAGTTTACAATTAAAAAAGTTTCGAGTTTTAAGTGTAAAAATAATAATTCGAAAGAATAGAATTCTGGACGCCCCCGGTTTGTGTTACTTCTGTATGTAGTGGTCTGCGTTATCCAATAAAAGCGGCTGTTGTTACAGCATGTGCTGACCTACGAAAGAAAAATGCTCAAAATAAAAATGGACTTGTTTTGATCGATATCTGATATAAATACATTAAAAGTGCAATAGTTGCAAAAAATACATATTATACAAAAAAACTAAGCATTTTAAAAAACAAGTTAATATTAATATTAATGAAATTAACTTAAGCTTTTGTCACCTTTCCATATCTAAAATATATGTGTTACGGTCGGTAGTCTAGGTCTTAGGAGATCGATTATCTTTCGCGTAGGCCGTGTTCTTCAGCCGAAAAATGTTCCAAATTTAGCTTCGCGCCACCCTCCTTACTCTGGTAATTATTATTTAAGACTACATCTAAATCTATAAATATTTTCTGAAATTAAGCAACACTTTTCGTTATAGTGTTATTGATTTCGGAATTCAATTATGCAATCACCAATTATGCAGGTTTTGTCAATAGATTAGTTTATTACATAATACACGAAACAGGTTTAAACGTGTTTTAATTTTTTTCCTACCGAGTTTTGCAATGCCCCATGTCATTGCAAATCTGGCGGACTCGCTGTCCATTCTTCAATATCTTGCGCTAACAAAGATATCGTATTTCTCCAATACATATACCCTCTCTGGTAATTTATTGAGTGCCAAATTTTAATTTGCACCTGTTATTAGAGTTACGGTATTCCTCCGGCCTATACAACGTGTAACAAAAAAATTGTAATTTATTTTACATATTATAAATGCGTCTAACTTTTGTTGTTTATAAGCAACCTGCGACGCGTAAAATAAAATACAAAATTAATAACAGAGGCAAATTTTGACATAGTTTATTTACATGTTTATTATTTTTGCAAACAAGAAATTCGGTTTGCAATGTTAGCTAAGCGAAAAAAAAATAACCGTTGCATTTATTACATTATGGAACAACGGTATCCGCACAGTAAAAGCTTTCCGTACGAGAACAGACATCTCTTAATTTATAATAACATCAGAAAAAAACACTGTAGAGCATGCAAGAGAGAATGGTTTGACCGAAAAAAATAACTGCCCGTGCAGCCAGGACACTTGGGCCAATTTATACACATAAATTTTTCACTTTTGACAAAGATTGTTGCCAATAAACTCACTTGTACAAACGTTTAAATATTATGACTGTTCCAAAATATTGGTAAAACCTGGATACGCAAATAAATCCACACCAATGTTAACAACAGGAAACGAATTGAGTGGCAAAAGCGCACATTAATGACAATTGAAATCAAAGTATTGGTTACCGATAAAGCGGCCTTTCAGTCTTCCGAAATACTGTAGAGCATTTGGTACAGAGATGCGTGCTCTATTCCCTATGCCCTAAAACTTTTGTTTTTATGGTAAAGATAAGACGAATTTGTTTGTTTTCAGCGCATTATGGACACTGAATATTACGTAGAAATTGTTTACCAGATATTAAACAAATGCTTGGATGTCATTGGCGTTTTCAACAAGACAATGACCCGAAACACACGCGCCGCCGGGCAAAGGTTTCCCCCCCCCCCCCCCCCAAGGTGCTGTATTGGCCGTCCAGCGGTCCAGATTTAAATTCTATAGATCTGTGGTCAATTGTTAAGCGAAATGTAGAAAACGTATACCGAGGAATAAATTGAGGAGTAGAAAAATATTATGGATAATGTTACAGGTTATTTTGTAGAATCAATGCCTTGCTATTACAAGTTCGTTATTGAAAGCAACGGCGAACAAATCGATTAATAAATTTTGATTAATAAAATTTACAATCTTCAGCTTTCAGAAGAAAAATTTTTTGGCTGAGGAACAACAGAAATTGGTTACACCATGTACTTTCGTGAGGAACTTTTATTCACATCAAGATGCTCGAACGCCCAGTTTAAGCCTTGCACAATGTATATTAATATACCCCTCAGCTATTACTTAAGCAAGTATATGCTCTGGCCCTAAAACATTAGTTTTAATGAATGCATCATCAAATTTGGGTGGAGGAACTTCATGAGGATATTATTTCTCCAGTCTCTCGTTTCTTTACTATTCCAGCATAGTTTTAGCAAATTACATATTAATATAGTAAATCCATTCCAGTTTGCTGTAAGCAGGATTTCTAGTAAGCTTACTTTCCCATTGATTTTTGTAAGAAGACTTTTTTTCTGCAACAATATCCCAAAACTTGTTAGTTATATGCGATTAGGTAATATCAGAAAAATTGACAGTAGATATTTTCACCCCGTTCAGTATAAAAATCATTGCACCTATCATCTGGCATACCTTTTGTGCAATCCAACTTCACAAAGTGAAACGAACTAGGGTTTGTTCACCTAAAGCAAATTCATCAATGTTAGGATATTTATGAATCGCAACATCATCGGCAAGAATTACCTCTTTAAAATAGGTGAATGAAAGGACACGGTGTAGTCCTGATTTTCTTTGAGAATATTAGCCTCGACAAGTTTATGAATCATGTTGAGAGGTATAATGGTATTAGCATTCTTGATGTCAATACGATCTACTTCGATGAGTTTTATGAAAAATTCATGGTTTTCAGGAAGTTCCACTGTGTCCAAATCTCTCTTGATCTGCGTGAACGTTTGCTCCTTGAATTCTGATAAGTAGGAATGTCAGACGAAAACGAGTTGTTTACGTCAAGGAACAAAAATTACAACAAATTACATACTTTCAACCAAATTTTTAGGATTGACTTGATTTAATATTTGGACCTCCTTCAATAAAATAAACCGTCCACCTGTTAGATATTTCACAGTGTCTTCAGCATTTTTTTTTTATCAATACCAGAATCTTGCAGAAATTTCACAGCTTCTTCATCTGAGATATCAAAAGGGATGTTTGCCCGCGACCAGGCAGAGCGAGCTGTAAAGAATAGAAATTATATTTAGTAAGAATTCAGCCATGTATCTCAGAATATTAAAAATCATAACATCCCTACATTTCATAATTTGCGGAACCAAGCCTTCACTCGCAATAAATATAATGACAAGGGTGCCTTTCTCTGCACAGTCCTTTGCAAAATCTTGAAGTATCCTCAGAAATTTTGGGTCCTCCTTAGCAATGCGGTCCACTTGATCAAGAATCAAAACTATCGGAGGCTTGTATTTTTTCATATAGTAATTCGCTGTGCGGAGAAGTTACTTGCTTAAAAGGTTCCAATTAGAGTATTCTGAATGACTGTCTTGTTCTACATGCCAGTTGGAGCTTTGCGAGCATATATGTGAAGAAAATTGTTATGAAGCACAAAAAGAATCACACGGTACCTTTCCCTTTTTGCATTGGTTGCCAACAGTACAATAAGTTTGAATGGATATAACTCACAATCAAGATGATTTGACAATTCCTCTGCAAATCCTTTCACATCTGAAGAACACTCAAAAAGGACAACACCCTATCAAGAAGAAATCGAGTGTAAATAAAATCGAAAAGGAAAGAGAAAATTGAATAATTTACCTTTGGCTCTTGAAGATTAAAGATAGTATTTTGAACCAAGGTTGTTTTTCCTGTCCCATATTCGCCCGAAATCAGAAAGTACTTTCGGAAAGAGGATTGCAAAATTTCCTTCAGTGCATTTTCAAGATTCTCGCATTTGACCAGTTCAATCCCTGATAGATTTTTCCCTTTTTGAAAATATCTGCCATTTTTTTGTACTGGGCTCTGGGACTTTCATGGGTGAAGTACAAATAAGAAAGCACAAGGCCAATGCCCATGGTATATAAAACTTTTGCACTGGCCGACTAAGAGAAGAAAACGGTTAAAATGTTGATAAAAATTAGTAAAAAAAACCCCCAACACACTTTCTTGGACGGGTCAGTCACCACGGTCTTGAATGAATTCCAATACTTTTTCAATACTTTTTCCGTTTGTCTAGAAAGAGCAAGGATAAGTGTTGAGGTAGTGGTCACAAACAGCCGGATTAATGTTTCTTACGTTTCCTTTTCTTGAGCACTATTATAGGGTCAGATCAATACTAGTTGGCGAGATTAAACATTCCGACTTGAGATGGGAAAAGCCTAACTGACAGCGTGCGAGACAGAAGAGTATGAGCTTTGAATGAGTTCATGCTGAAGTTAGTATTTGTCAGTATTTGTTGATAATCTACAATCGACCATTTGACATTTGTTTGTAAATTGCTACAAAAACCCAATTGAGACCTTGTTTGTAGCGCAAACGGTTGCGCAGTTATTAAATTCTAAAATGTTTATCATAACGTTTAATTGTTTTGTTTCGGTTAGGTATAATAATAAGCAAAATTCAACATTTTGCGTATTAATGTGCAACGGAAATTTGCAGGAATGTTCATTGCCACCGTGTATACAATTAATGGTGATCGCAGCAGAATGGACGCGTAGACTGATAAGCTATAAATTAGTAAACGATGCTAAGATCAGGTTAGCTAGATAGCTCAGAAGATATAAATGCGGCATAGATTTGACTTAGCAATCGGTGTGTTCTCAGCGTTGGCATATCGAAGACGTACCACTTATTACTTGTAACTTACTAATAAATGAGTGTCCATTTATGCTTTTTGTAAATATATCCTGGATAATCCATTATATTGTGAAATCACTAGTCTGCATAACGGATAAGTTTAATCGTAATCACTTCTTAGTCACGCGTTATATTTCTTATCAAAACCTTAACCGAGTCAATAGCCATCAAATTGTAGCTCACTCATTTCGCTGTTATTATTATGTCTTTTTCGTTCTCCATTGTAAATGTCACAATAAAATGCGACCAAATTTGGTCATGACATGAGTCGTTGCTGTGCCATTGAATTAAAAGCATCGGCGGCGCTACCCCACGAATATGTTGTGCACCCTTTGGGTGGCGCTTTATCTGGTTTGTTGACTATTTTCTATGATCGTATTATTAATTATATCGGTATTATTTGAATTTTCACCTACTTGTTTTGCTAGCAACGGATTAATACTCAGGTCATATCGCTATAGTATAAGTTCTTTTTGAAGAAGATTGCTTTCCCCAAATATTTAGCCAGTAACACAGGCTTTTGGCACATTTGTTGTGCACCAGCCCATTCTTGATGATTCGTACATCTGGATCTCTGTCATTCGTAAACCCCTTTAATCTCTTCCAAACAGAGATCAACACCTCAACCAAACGTAAACAAATCAACCACACTCGTTCTTAAGCTCCATCGTAACTTGTTGCGAAGAGTGAATGTCTCTTAATCATACCACAGTCAGTAAACTATGAGCTGTATGCTGGGTTATTTTAGCTTGGTGGCTATCCTTTCCTTTATGTGGAGAAACGGTTTTGTCAAATGTAACTCAAAAAACAGGGGACGCTTTCTTTTCTTGGCTATTGTCATGCCAAAATAAGCTTTTAAAACCTATCTGAACCCTCCCAATCTCCATAACTGCGTCTGAAACTCATAAATACTTGAGTAACCAACCTGTGCGCCACACACTTGTTTATTCTGCGTTGCAGGGCAACGATACCACTCTCATCTTACACCCTCACGACTTTGAACCCTGTCTTGGCCAATTGCATGCCATGTCTCCAGGTAGATAAAGTCAAATATTCTTCAAGTATTACTACAGTTCTACTACCTGGCTCCCTATCTGCAACTACTGTTCATCA